GTATGGGATGTACGGATCAAGTCTTTTCCTTAAGGTGCATAACAGAGAAAACCTTAGCTCAACATCAGAAGGTTTTCTGCGCCTTCATTGACCTTGAAAAGGCTTATGATAGAGTGGAGAGGAATGAACTGTGGTCAACACTGGCAATGTATGGGGTGAGCAACCATTTGATACGGGCATTCAAATCTTTATATAAGGATTCAAATGCCTGTGTCAGAATAAATGGAGTCTATACAGACTGGTTTGGCATTGAACGCGGTGTTAGACAGGGCTGTGTAGCGTCTCCTTGGCTGTTCAACCTATTTATGGACAGTTGCTTGACCGATTTGAAAGGATCTAATTGTGGATTCAGGATGAATGAGTCTCTGTTTAAGACTCTTTTATACGCCGACGACCAAGTACTTTTTGCATCGTCGGAGTATGAATTACAACAAATGGTGACTATAATGAATGAAGCGTATGCAAGAAAAGGTATGAAAATAAATGCGAAGAAGACGAAGGTAATGGTTTTTGAGAGGAATGAAAGTTTAACGGCATGCCAGATTATGATAGGAGATGAAAAAGTAGAGCAAGTGAGTGAGTTTCTATATTTAGGTTCTTTGTTACGAGGGATGGGAAGTGTGACAGAGATATTGAGAGGAGAGTAAAAGCGGGAAACAGTGCTAACGGTGCACTGCTCTCGATTATGTCAAGTAAAAATGTATCGAGCAAAGCTCGCCTTGCTATAATTCAAGGAGTACTGACACCAACACTCATGTATGGAAGCGAATCGTGGGTATGGCAGAAGAAGCATGAAAGTAAGATAAATGCTGTACAGATGAGAGCTTTGAGAAGTATGTGTGGTATTACTTTAAAAGATAGAGTAAGAAACAGTGTGATTAGAGAGAAGTGTGAACTGAAAGACGATGTAGTGACAAAAATTGAAAAAGGAATGTTGCGTTGGTTTGGTCATTTGGAGAGGATGGATGAAAGAAGAATTACGAAAGAGATTTATCGAGCAAGAATGAATGGAGATGTCGGTAGGGGCCGCCCTAGACGGACGTATGTCGACCAAATAGGCGACGTGCTGAAGAAGGGCCAAATTAAAAGTACCCGTAACCGACGAGCGTGTATGACAAGATTGATGAATGTGGAAGAAGCGAAAGAGGTTTGTTTGAATCGAAGCATTTGGCGTTCCATTGTTTCTGCCTACCCTAATGGGAGACAGGCGTGACAGATATGTATGTATGTATGTACATATATAGATAAACATCCAAGACCCAGGCCAATCAGGAAAAGATCGTTTTCCATCATGACCTGGCCGGGTATCGAACCCGGGACCTCCACGTCGCAGGACGTCGTCGAGGACGACGATTTAGTCATCTATACATATAATAAAACTGTAGAGGTCGAATATCTGTAAATAGAAAAAAAAAGCTAAAACCCGAGTCAGGGGGATGTTAGAAGTGAAATAGAACACGTTCAGATATTTCAAATTTTTTGGTTTGGGCTAATCTCCAAAACTGTTGCACCGATTTAAATGAAATTTTTCATGGTGATACCTTACATCCCCGGTAATTATTTTAGATACTTTTAATCACGGAAAATTGAAGAGTTCCCGTGGGATAGTTAAAAAACTATAGTAACTTATACAGCTTAGTACACAACCTACTTAAGTAAAGTCATTTTGACCTAAGGCAAAGAGTGAGAACAACACGTCATTTGTTAATTTTGGTCCAGTATTCCCAGACATGATAAATAGGTAGGTACATACATCGATATATACTAAACATGAATAACAAGTACCACGCGGACAGTCACGGGTATCAGCTAGTATTACATAATGTAAAATTCCAACTAACTCCCTGATGATAGTGAATACCTTTAATATACCAAAGTAGTCAGAGTGGTGGCGGTAGACTCGCCTTCTAGCCACTAGCCCGAATATGCTCGACAAAATATTTTTTTTTATTGGATTTTTTTTTATACAACTTAGAATGGCAAACAAGCTGACGGTCCACCTGATGGAAGTAATAACCGTCGCCTATAGACATAAGCAATACCATGGACATAACAGAGTATACTGTTTCGCTCATGAGACCCCCATGCGTTGTCATTCCTGAGGACTCGGGTGTTATTCCTCTGTTCCCAGTAAATTCACGCCATATCCCGCCCTTCAAACCGAAACACAGCCATGCAAACACAACTGCTTCACGGTTGAGACACGAATGGGACAGAGGTACCCTAGCAATCGACTTTTGTACAAAGTCTCCCTCTGGTAGAATGTTAACTTCGCCATAATAGGAATGCCATCTAATAACCCCATCAATATTTATGGCCGTGAACATATTTTTTCATTTAATACTAGTGTTTACCAGCGATTTCTTCTGCGTGACTAGAGTTCACTGACCTTAATAAATTATAGCCTACGCCCCTGAATCCAATATAGTACGTGCACACCAAATTTCATAGTGATCGGTTAAGGCTTTTTTTAATGGGTGATGATGGAATGGTGACCCCGCCTGCGCTATCGGTTACGCTGGCGGGGCACCAGTGAGAGATGATAGGTGAGGATGAAAAGACAGGTCTTTTTTTAATAAGTGATAATGGAATGGTGACCCCGCCTGCGCTATCGGTATACGCTGGCAGGGCACCAGTGAACGATGACAGGTGACGATGAAAGCAGGTCAGTTAGCACATCGTGACGAATGCCACTAGAATTAACCACAATGGTTTCCAGGGGGAACCGTGTGGAGAGCGACCTGATGGGGTGCATTGCTGGCAATGGATCAGTTAGATCCCATTACTGACAATCCCCCCCCCCCCCCCAATAGTGTGTATCAGTTAATTATGTACTAACTCGGACACACTACAGTTTGCTAACAAATAATTATTGTTAGCAAAATGAGTAACGTGTTGTAATGAAGGCCTGGATTCCTGAGATATAGATCTGTGATCTAGTTTTGGAGTCCGGTCTCTTACAAATTGTACAATTACATATATGCTTTTATATATCATTATACCTTTTTTTAATGGATGATAATGGAATGGTGACCTAACCTACGCTACAGGGGCTATCGGTATACGCTGGCGGGGCACCAGTGAGGGATGATAGGTGAGATGAAAAAGCAGTTAGCCCATCGTCATGAATACAACTGGAATCCAACACGACGGTTTCAAGGGGGAACCGCGTGGAGGTTGACCTGACAGGGTATATTGCTAGCGATGTAACTGGTAGCCCGCATTACTAACAATCCCTTCCCCCCTACATCTATCATCAGCTAACTGACCTGCTTTGAGGGGATTGTTAGCAATGGAGTTTAACAGCCCCATTGTTAGCAATTTGCCCTATTAAGTTGACCTCCACGTGGTTCCCCCTGGAAACCATCGTGAACAATTCTTATTGAATTCGTCACGATGGGCTAACTGACCTGCTTCATCCTCACCTATCATCCTTCACTGGTGCCCCGCCGGCGTATACCGTTAGCGCGGGTGGGGTTACCATTCCATATTCACCCATTAAAAAACTAACCTGCTTTTATCATCACCTATCATCACTGGTGCCCCGCCGGTGTATACCGATAGCTCAGGCGGGGTTACCGTTCCATTATCACCCATTAAAAAAAAATAGATACACACTATTGCATTCATGAATATGCCTGTTCATATTGTTTGTATGAAAAAAGAGATTATATAGATAGAGCATCGAGCCTCAAAAACGAGACAACTTTTTATCAACTAATTTTCAAATTAGCTGACCCTTTTTTTTTTAATAACGTTCTATATACTTACGCTCACAATGTATCTTGACGTATCTATATTTAATTACTAGCTGACCCGGCAAACGTTGTTTTACTATATACATTATTTTTAGAACTATACATGAAAATTTATCCTACTACAATTATTATATTGGATGGCCATCTTGCAACTCTATTGCAGCATCATAAAAATCGCGATTAAAAAACAGGAGTTGATCGTAAAACGGTGAAAATTTGAGGTTGTATGTATTTTTCAATGCTAAATCATAATAAAATAAAAATAGAATAATTTGTCAAAAAATAAAAAAAAAAAATTGCCGAAGGTCACCCTTATCATTGACGGGGTATGAAAAATAGATATTGGCCGATTCTCAGACCTATCCAATATGCACACAAAATTTCATAAAAATCGGTAAAGCCGTTTCGGAGAAGTTTGATAACAAACACCGTGACACGAAGATTTTATATATAAGATTTAATAAATAAAAAAAGTGTTGTCGCTTTAAAAATAAATACAGAAGTTATAAAGGAATCACTCGTAACTATTTATCACGCAAAATTCTATGAAAAAGTTGACCCGCTTCTTTCGATGCACTTGTATGAAGACACTCTATCTAAGATCTATAATCTAAGAAAAAAATTAATACGATCAATTATATTTTTTTATGCAACTTAGAATGGATTTTATCATTTAATATTATATAATATAATTAGAATAAATAGAATTATATAATAATGTATAGTGTTTATGCTTGAAGCTTAAAAGTTCTCGACGAAAAAAAATGCTTGTCCGTGCCTCAATTTTTTATAATAAATTAAATAATACAAAGATGCGTGTAGTCCTATCCGTTACCAAAATTTCAAACTGTCTACGTCTATGGTTCTAATATTGCAAGTGCGTAAAATATAACTTTTTATTATAATTTCTATAATGCCTGTTCTTAACCAATTAGTTTTTTTTTTCGACTTTGAAGAGTCCTTAATTTTCCCTTTTTGAAGAATTTTCAATTCAAGTTCATGTCTATAGGTGACGGTTACCATTTTCCATCAGGTGGGCCGTCAGCTCATTTCCCTATCTAGCTGGCATAAAGGTATAAATTGGGGGGAAAGGATTCTTAGTAATGGGGAGATTAGTCCTCATTGCTATTTGTATATCTATCAGATCGACCTCCATGCGGTCCCCCCTGAAAACTATCGTGACTCATTTATCGCTGAATTCGTCACGATGGGCTAACTGACCTTTTCATCCTCACTTATCACCTCTCACTGGTACCCGGCCAGTATATACCGATAGCGCAGGCGGTGTTACCATTCTCATCCATTAGAAAAAAAAGGTATAAGTTAAAATTAAAAGAAAAACATTATATTTAAAAAAAAAATAAAAGATTCCATTTATTTCTCTCTTTGGTACTTATATCTATTAACATGGATCAACAACAATAGTGGTAACTATACTACACGTAGTTAATTGGGATTAGATGACGGTGGTGGTAGTAATTTTGATGACTTGAGTCAGCTGACGTCATCCGCGGTGTTGATTTGTACTACTTGTATATCTGTTGACAGATGATAATGTTTAATTAATTTCAAAATAAAATCTCAATTTGGATTAACCCTTAAAGTACGGCAATATGTGTTTTAGACATGTGTTTTTTTATACAACTTAGAATGGCAAACAAGCAGACGGCCCACCTGATGGAAAGTGGTAACCGTCGCCTATAGACATGAGCAGTAGCATGGACATAACAGAGTATACTGTTTCGCCCATGATACCCCCCATGCGTTGCCATTCCTGAGGAATCGGGTGCTATTCCTCTGTACCCTGTAAATTCACGCCCTGTATTCATGTATTTTCAGAGTTTCTTTTGTATTTTAAGATGTAGACTATTCTAAGGTGGGCACGGCCCACATTGTGTAGAATATCATGCAAAAATTATTGAAAATAAATTACATTTAATATCATCATCTTCCTGCCCTTATCTCAATTATTACTTGGGGTCGGCGTAATATGGTTTTATCCATATTACAAAAAGATTTGGCTTATAGTTTTACGACCGGCCGCCTGCCCGACGTCGACCCTCTTTGGGAAATAAATTACAAGTAATAGAGACATTCAAATACAAAATTTAAAAAAAATATATAAAAATTAGTTAAAAAAGAAAGAAAACTACTCTAGTCCATTAATATTACACTTTCAACGTGAAGTGACTTTTTTATGCAACTTAGAATGGTAAAATAAGCTGACGGCCCACCTGATGGAAAGTGGTAACCGTCGCCTATAGACATGAGCAGTACCATGGGCATAACAGAGTATACTGTTTCGCCCATGATACATTTCATACATTACCATTCCTAAGGGCCCCTTTTAATATTTTTGTACCCTGTAATTTCATTGCAATTTCCCACCCTTCAAACCTAAAACACAGCCATGCAGACAACTGTTTTACAGTAGAAACGAATGGGACAGAGGTACCCAACCAGACGACTTTGTACATAGTCTCAAAAGTGTTAAATTACTCCAGCTTTATTACAAACTCACCTTAAACTAAAATACTTCGCGTAAAAGAAATCAGTTCCAGCCATGCGACAGAGACTCGCCCTCCCAGCCGTGCTCCTCCTCGATGTGGTGCTCGTGATGATGCACTGGCACGTACACCTTCTTCTCAACCTCGACCTTCTTGATCACTGGCACCGGCACGTGCTTCACCACTGGCACTGGCACGTGCTTCACAATTGGCACTTCCTTCACCACCTGCACCTCCTTGACAACGGGCACGTGCACCGGGTATGGCACCTTGGACACGTGATGGTGGTGAATGGTGTGAACCTTGTACGGCACGTGGATAGTCACATGCTTGCTGAAACAAAAAATATATAGATTGAATACATTGTTAAAAAAGTGGACAAGTCTATTTCAATATTAATATATTTTTTTTTTTATTTTGAAGTATATTTTTTATAATATAGATAGCAGTAAATTTTAATTCTTCGATAAAGTTATGCAAGTAAAGAAATACTAGACCTACATTTCTATTATGCAATGATTTCAGCATTACTACACCAATAATGGTAATACCAAAACCATTGCTCTATCAATGGTCACTTGATATAATGATTATATTTAATTCAGCAAAAAAACATAAGACAATTATTTTACTTGTATGTAAATAAATTCAAAATTTCATTGTAAACTGTTACGATAATGAGCGAGAGAAAGTATTGTATTTATAATTAGTTATTAAGTTCAACGTACAACCATCATGTTAATATGAAATACCTCTGTGATTTCATATCGTATTATGGAATTAATAATATTTTAGCTAATTTGTAATTAAAAACACTTTTGTGTCTACTTAATTGGCATGCATGTAATTTGATGTTAACGTGATAAAAAATAGTTTTCTACGAACAGGAACTGATCCAAAAAATAATTCATTGTAACATGTCATCGAAATAACGCTTTCTAGAGCGTATTAACATACAGTGATATAGTCAAGTTATGGTGCATCAACATGTTCATTTTACTGTCAACGTATACAAAAGACCATGTCCTCTCAGGTTGTCACAATTTCGTTTACCGATTAAGTTTATAATACAATTTCCATGTATTTTGTACATTTGATACAATATGTGAATGAAATACGATTAAGCAATAATCACAAAATGCCTACTTTCACTTGCACTTGAGTACAGCATACGGGAAATAAGCTGTTTTCATGCAAACGTCTCATTTAATGGACGAAGCGAATGTGCTTTCTATATGCTCTCATCATTTAAGATACAGTTAAATGCACATTAGTGTAGCAAAAAATAATTTCGCGTGGGAAATGGCATGTAATTTATGCGGAATGTAAAATGACTTGGCCCTTGTTTACACATGTATCAACATCTGGTGTTATTTTGATCAACGTACATAAATTTCATTTTTCGTAGTGTTCATTGTGTCCCACTGCTGGTAAAAGGTATCTACCTTACGTCTCCAAGTGTCACTATCTATACAATGTAAAATCCAAGTTGTTAGCCTTTTATAAAAAGTGAAATTGCATATTTTTTTTTTCAAAGACACTTGAACAAAGCATGAGAAATAAATGGAGATACTCGTATCAACTCATTATGTCTGTGGAGGATGAAAAAATTTCGTCGTTTAAAGACCTATGCTTTTTTGCAAATTTTGTTTATTTTTATGAGTAGAACGCTCCCTGAGACAATATTTTGAATTTGAGCTTATATAAATAATATGCCGTGATTTCAATAAATCATACACTTTTGTTAAATATAAGTATTACGAAAATGAAGTATAATTGAAAATTTGATCGATTCTGAGGCGGCGCTTCTCTTAACCTATCTTTAAAAAATTAAATTCGATATCACAAATTCATAAACTTTATTATAAGGATCAATATAAACGAATTTTCTAACTTAAGTAAAAAAAATAATATCGGAGGAAAAGGATTGTTAGTAATGCAGGTTGCTATCAATATATCCTGTCAGGTCGACCTCCACGTAATCCTGGAAACCATCATGCTGAATTCCAAGTATATCACGATGACTACCTTTTCATTCTCACCTATCACCCCTCACTAATGCCCCGCCAGCGATAAACGTTAACGCAGACAGGGTTACCATTCCATTGTCATCCATTACAAAAAAAAAGTCACAGTGGATATTTTAATTTAGGTCGGTTTATAAAACAGTAAGTTCGTGAAATATCAAATTGAAGATAGAGAATTGGTATCAGAGAATCGGCTTCAATGATAGTCCCTTTTATACTCAGCCGGCTATCGGCGAGCAATTTATTTTTATTTTACACATACATTGCTCTCATGACAGATAGATACTCTTTATTGTTTCCTCCAAAAGATTACAATAGTTTACATCTAGAATAAGTTTACAATTGTAATCTTTTGGAGGAAACAATAAAGAGTATCTATCTATCTATCTATCTATAGTAAACTTATTATAGATATAAACAATTACAAGAAATGATCACAATGTGAAAACAATGGGCGGCCCCATCGCTAAAAGCGATCTCTTCCCGGCACCCAAAATTGTTGCGCGGCAAAGCTGGCTCGGCATAGGAAAACCGGCGTAATTTTCTAGAAGTTTCCATTACATAATGATTGCCAGTAACAAAATAAAGTACCGACCCGATCGAGACACTGTCAGCGCATTGTTTTGATGATTTTGTAACGCGCTCTGTTTATTCCGTACGCGTAATTCTACACTAGAACGGTTCTGTTCCGAGACGTGACCCGGATTCATTCGTATGTCGATTAATTGCATCATACCTATTATTGATATGAATAAATGAATATAATTGAGACTAGATGACCTATCAAACGTCGATTTGCCCCCCCCCCCCCACAGACTAATTGTCGGTAAAAACAAATTGGAACAAACAATTATACATTTACATAATTAAAATTGTGTTTAAAAAAAAAGCTATTTCAATCGTGATAAAACCAAATGTTTTGATTTAAAAACTAAAGTATTGATAGATAGATAGATAGATACTCTTTATTGTTTCCTCCAAAAGATTACAATAGTAAACTTATTATAAATATAAACAATTACAAGAAATAGTCACAATGAGAAAACAATGGGCGAGCTTATCGCTAAGAGCGATCTCTTCCAGGCAACCTTTGGATGGAGACGAGTAATTATAAACAATTTGATTGGAGGTATTTCATTAAAGATGACATGATCAGATTGGGTGTAAAAATACAAATAACTGCAAGTAGAGTCGGAATGGGACAGGGCATTCCTCAGGAATGGCAACGCATGGGGGGTATCATGGGTGAAACAGTATACTCTGATATGTCCATGGTACTGCTCATGTCTATAGGCGACGGTTACCACTTTCCATCAGGTGGGCCGTCAGCTTGTTTGCAATTCTAAGTTGCATAAAAAAAAAACATTTTAGAGTAACCATTTTTTAAACGTTTTCTTAAAAGTTTTACTAGAGAGCTCTCGATTCTCTTTTGTTTTTTTTTTTCTTTTTATTTTTATATTAATAATATAAATATATAAGTGATCTTAGCACTTTAACATCTTAACCAATCACTATGACTTTAGTATATATATTATATTAAAAAAAAAGTCCTTGCTGATTTTGTCACAGTGAGGAAGAAACGCCGCAGCACTTAATTTGTGGCTGTAGCCCACTCATACATAAACGATATATCTCTTTTGGAAAATACACTTTATATCCTGAGGAGATAAAAAAAAACGTCGCTACAAAAAACATTTTAAAATTCTTATCACTGATAGGAATTAGCAGCGAACCTTAAAAAAGGGCAAGCACAAAAGATCATCAGAAAGGTCGCTGGTCACAAGCTTTTCTGCCTAGAAAACCCATTCTTGAATAATAATAATAAATAATATTATATAAAGTATGGAGAAGGATATAGTCTGCTTTTCTCAAACATGCTTGGAAATGTGAGCATTATTTTGACAATCTTCTTAGAGATAAATCAAAATTGCCGTACTGGCCAGTTACATGCGGGCAACGGCCGGCAAAAGTTGTATGAAAATCCATATCTGTCGTGTTTTGCGGCCAGATAAATTACTATGTAAACTCATATCTGTCCTGTAATTTAAAAATGGAATGACCTTTTACTTCGGAACATGGCTACCAAGGAGGTAACTTATAAAAGGTTTTATTTAAATTTCGAACTAACTTGCAAATAGAAAGCTGTTTATTGAAAAAAAAAAACAAAGGAACATTATGGCGCGTGAAAAATTATTATTGTTCGTTATTCGTCATTAAACTTAAAAAGGAAAATTGTGTTTTTGATTTCCGCGCATTGTTTGAGAAAAGTACTATACAAGCCTTGGCCACAACTAGGCATTGATGGACCCTCGTATGTGTGCCTCGGCTACGCCTCGGCCCAAATTTGCACGTTCGTCCATCACTGCCTCAGTTGCTGGCCGCTGCAGTAATGTACTATTACATAAGAATAAAAAAACACATAAATTTAATCCCGGATAGATAATAAAATAATGTTTATTAATTAAATTTAAATTTTCCTTTATGGTTTGAAGTTAGGGTTATCACAAAAAAGAAATATAAAAATAAACACAAGAAGCTACACTTCAGCGCCGCCGAACTTTGCAAACTAGAACGACCGGTAAATCCGGATGTCATTTATTATGGAAAAGTTCATACATAATTATTATTGTTGAGATAATATTACGGTGCCGTAATTTTTTATTACATAAAGTGATTACTTTATGAACAAAATGCTAGTCATTCGATGTTCTAAAATTACTCGAATCTCAATAATACCGTCACAACCTGTAGGGTTGCCAGCTTGCTCGTTGACATATGTCAAAGCTTTTTTTTAGATTTACATTTCTATTTTATATTTTTACAAATGATACTAAGTGTTATCATACAAACTTAAATAAGCAATAAATCATGATAACAAATCATGATTTGTTGGTATTAAAAAGTCAGTGTATCATTCTATTTTTAAGTTTTTACGAAATAATTTAAATGCCCAAATTCGGCAATTGAAAGTCTTCTATAGTATTTATATAAATATTTTTTAATTGCGTGAAAATAATTAAGAAATTAACATTTTATTTTTAAAACTTTTACTAAAAATTATATACTTTTATATTTAAATATTTCATATAAAAAATAATAATAATAATACGCAGATAGTGGCAACCCTGTGGGATTTATAAAGTTTATTGACATTTGAGTGTTGTAATAAGTTTGCGATCCGATGCCATTTTGAATATATGGCTTTTTGTACTGTTCCTTTCTATCCAGTTCAGTAAGAACGAAATTGAAATTGGTTAGCAGTAAAATTATTCCGGTTAGTTGACCTCACCGTTTCGGTATGTTACTAACATTAAAATGTAATATTTATTTATTAATTACAAAATAGTTAGAAAGTGAACAATATTTGACGTTCGAATTTTGAAATCGAGCGCGCGTCTTCAAGATTTTTTCTTTTTTGAATTAAGAATAATGAATTCGAATTTAACGAGTTCCGAAATTATTATTGTTCTTTGTAAATAAAGAATAATGTTTTATTGTATTATACATAATATTGTTGGCAGTTTTTTTTATTTTTTTATTTTAGCAACAATTACAGACAATTTTGTGTTAAATGTCTCTGACTCAGTGGTGTTTCTGCCATAATGCAACAGCTACTTCATGAAAGAAAGAAAACGAAAGAGGAAAAGATAGATTTTTAAAAGGTAGGATATGACCTCACACCGTGGAACCAAAATGGTCACGTACAGTGCAGTTTTTTTTTTAAACAAGAGTAATAATGTTTGTAGCGTGGCAACTACTGACAAAACCCCCTAAGGGGGAGGCTTATATTCAGCAATGGACGGTTAAAGGCTGATATAATAAATATTTGTTAAGGATCTGCAACATGCTCTTGACACCCTAATGATACAGGCGTCCATAGACTACGGTAACACTGTTCACCATCAGATGTACTGCGTGACTGATTCTCACGATCGTAGTGAAAAAAAAAAATAAAAATAAAAGGTAAGCAAGAGCATTAACGATGTACAACACTGATCACTTTAATTGCAAATAATAAATTAACGTAATGGATCGCTAATTGACGTCAAATATTATGTATAACGTGAAACTTTTAACATAGTATGACTTTTTTAGAAATATTATGCAATTTCTCATACTATAAGTTTCCATAGAAGTAAATATTGAAAAATATTACATAATTTTAAATAGACAACGATCTACTTTCAGAGCTACCGAGTGTACATATAAAGTTTCATCTAAGTCGATTAATCCGTTTAGAATTATGGCGACTAACACTGCGACACGAGAATTTTATATATTAGATTATTGAACGATATCTGTAAAATTCATTTTTTTTTTATACAACTTAGAATGATTATTACATTAGTTTTCTTTCTTCTTAAATCTGCGTGTACGAAGTAACGGGTAAAAAACGGGTGAATCATAGAAGATCCGTACGGGTCAACGTGTAACGGCTTAGCTGACCCCCTCCCCCTCCTCCATACGCAAATAAAAGATAAGATACTGGGCAAAAAGATTGTTATATATTTATTAAGATAAATTTACATTAAATTATTTATTGACTCATACTGTTTCATATCAGCCTTTGACTGTCCACTGCTGAACATAAGCCTCCTCTTTGGAGGGTTTTGCCAGTAGTTGCCACGCTTGGCGGGTGGATTGGCAACCACGGTTAGGCTTTAGAAATATTTCAAGAGGGACCCTGCTGCCCATTCCTCGCTCTCCCTTAGTCGTCTCTGAAACCCATAGAAAAGGGAGAGGTGGCCTATTCTATGCCGGAATCACACGGCTACACGTATTACGAGAAATTAATCCTACATTTTTAAATATCGAACGATGTATTCGAGTGCCTTTTGCCGCGACAACTATTGATTTGTATTTTTTTTTTATTTTAGCAAAGGGCTAGTGAGGTGTCAATTAACACAAACATACAGTAGCGAGTAATCACTGACCTGTCTCAATCTTGTGGCTAGTGACTGACAACGTAAACTATCACTTACGCTAGAAAGTCAGTTATCATAAGGTTGTTTATCTATTTACGTTATACGCAATAGTTATAAATTATAACGCGACGCGGAATTATTATGTAAACATGAGAGGAAACACTTTAATTTCGAGTAAGTGAATATTTCTCATATTTACAATATTTATGTAAAAATAAAGTAACGGGGAAGCCATATTTTAATAGTTGTTGTTGCAAAACAACATATTGTTAATTTTTTTTTTTAATATAAGTCTGAAATAAAAATTAAATTATTATTTTTTAAATTTTCACAAAATTCTCATCTCCCCTCTTAAGGAGAGGAGATGGCAACTAACCCCCGGCAGAAGCACAGTCGGCCCGGGTTCAGGGCCCCAGGGAGAGAAACCGGCGTACAATGCGGGCAGAATCTAAGAGCACCCCTTTCTGCATCCTTCCCGGGAGTGAGTCGCCTCGGAATCCCAACCGTCTGAGATGTTGTTTCAGACTAGTTGGGATAAGACTGTTCACCGACAAAACGATTGGAATGATTTCGGTGGATGTTACCCCCCTTACTGCGGCTCTCTGCCGGGGGTTAGTTGCCATCTCCTCTCCTTAAGAGAGGAAATGTGAATTTTGTAAAAATTTAAAATGGTCACCTCGTGGGCCAGGTTAAGTTATTATTATTATTATTAATTATAATTCAAGGTTGTCTTCCACAAAGATAAACCAACTCCAATTTTAACGAAGTCAGTTATTTTGATTTATAAACTAAACCACTCAATCAATTTTGATAAAATTTCTATAAATATTTCCAATCCATAGGTATTTCCTTGCAGATAAAAAAAGTAATTTTCCAAATCGATTTATAACAGACGGATTTATGAGGTAACAAATATTAAAAAAAAATACCACTACATTAAGAACTTTTTTCCTTTTCAACCGACTTAAAAAAGGAGGAGGTCTCGAATTCGGTTGTATTTTTATTTTATGTTTGTCACCTCATATCTCCGTCAGTTGTAAACCGATTTGGAAAATTCTTTATTTTATTTTTTTGTTTGGAAGGATATACGTACAGTTTGGTTGCATAGAAATCTCATCAAAATCGGTTCAGTGGTTTAGTTATTAAATCAAAATAACCATTGTTTTGCCATAATTGAAGTTGTTTTTTTATCGTAGAAGGCAATTTAATTATTTGTAACATTTTTAGAATTTCGTTTATTTAAGGTGATACCTAACATAGTAACTTAGCTGGAAAACATTGATGACCGAGTTCGTTTTATAATTTTATTGCAGTAAATTATTTAATAACAATTTCTGTGATTATTATGTTAAAGTTATCACTTAGTTAATAATCACTACAACTTAGACTAACACTTAACACTTTAAATTCAAGAGATTTTACACCGCATACAAACATAAGCTGGGATTAGACCCTGAGGTCGTAGATCACAATGAATCGTCACAAACCTGAGCTCCCATATTCTGGTCAGTGTTATTACAATAAATAATCAAATAATTTAATGTTATGTTCCACAAACAAAACCGACTTTAACTGTGACATTGTTATGTTAATCTCAAAACTAAACTTTTAATCCAATTGTGATAAAATTTCAATGGTACCAAACTGTAAGTATATAGGGGGGAAAGGGGTTGTTAGTAATGGAGACTGAGAATCCCATTGCTAGCAATATACCCAAGCAGGTCGACCTCCTCACGGTTCTCCCTGGAAACTATCATGGTTAATTCCTGATGAATTCATCATGATGGGCTAACTGGCCTGTTTTCATTCTCATCTATCACCCTTCACTGGTGCTCCGCCAGCGTATCCCGTTAGCGCAGGCGGGGTCACCATACCATTTTCACCCATCAAAAAAACAAACTGTAAGTATAATTTTTAAGATAAAAAAAAGGATTTTCCAAATTCTTTTATAACTAACAGAATTATAAGAGAGAGAGAGAACAGACAAGCGTGGGGAAAAAATACAACTAAATTGAAACCCTATTACTTTTCAAAGTCGATTGATAAGTACAAATGTACTAAATTTGAATAACTGCTGTAAAAGTACATAGTGTGAATGCAAAATATTAGAATTTTTTTGTATTATTGTATAAAAGTAAAACAAAGTAAAATTTTTAATGCTGATTAAGAAAAAAAGAAAAGTAAATTGTAATGATTATGAAATTTAATTATTGTTATGAAAGAGCGGTTTCTCCTAACACAAGCAATCTTTGCTTAACAGGAGATACCAAAACCTGTAATGTAACTAACTACCTTTGTATGAAGAAATAAATTTATTATTATTATTATTATTAAAATATTTAACACTATCAACATTTTTTTTTATTATTATAATTATATTATTGTTACAATTTGAATTAAATGAATATTAAACATATTAATTTACAAAAACTGAATGAAACTTCTGAATAATATGTAAATACTATAAAACAAATTCGTTGCCCCCGTCTATCTATTTTACAGTTTACTTCTTCTAAACCACGCCATCAATTTTGATACGGATTTCACTATCGTACAGAAATTTTTTCACTGTATCTACAAGTTTATAATTCAAAGTTTTTTAATAAATCACCAAAATCAATTTTCACGGTTAACATTAACTAAATCATAAATGTAACACATCAAAGTAATGTACCGTGCAAAGCCGGGGCGGGTCAATAGTGATCAATTAAGATTAATTCACAGTAACGATCGTATAAACCGAACTCAAATTTCATTAACGTAACATAACCCGTTTTTTATTTAACCGTTTTTTTTTTTTGTTTAACCTTGAGTAACTTGCATAACGTCATTTTGTTCGTTCGTTGCACTATTTTTACCTTTTTTTTTAGTTAAAGCTGATTATGCGGTTTCTTTGAATGAATGTTTATTTTGTTTTTATTAATAAGAAGTAAGGTCACTGCCATTCTTTAGTTCTTTTTTTTTCGTTGTACATGTAATCTAGATTGGCAATCTTTCTTTTTTATTATCGATTAAATTATTAAAGAAATGTATTTATTAATAGAAGCACTTGAGAGAAGCTTTTGCCCAGCGGTGGGGATATGAAGGAAATTGAATGTACCTAATAGAGTGAAACGGAGTTTACAAATAGAACAATACTCACTGATGGCCGCCGTGACCACCGGGAACAGGGGAAGCTACCACTACGGCGACGAGGAGCGCAACAAGCTGAAAACGAAACGAAATATTAACGTTAAAAAATAATATGCTATTTATCAATAACAGGTTACTGGATTCTATTATTATGCCCATCACTAAACTGCATTTTAAAATTAGAACAACACATTGAAAAAAGTTATATTAATTTTTGAAAGATCAAAGAATATGTGTCACACTGCCAAACTTACAGCGAGTTTCGTGTACATCTTGCTTTAGTTTGCTGGACTGATTTTAGTGATACAGCTGGCCTGTGGACACTGGCTTGCTTTCTACTGTTTCCGAACGTTCCACAAGCTTATATACTGAGTCGTTTCAAGTCCAAGAGTTGCATAATGGAGCCCCTTGGTTCATCCCTACTAGCCCGTTTTATCCGGCTAAATTAGAAAGGTGCAAGGTGTCTCTGCATTTGAGGTAGAAAGGCGCCACTTGAAATTGGTGGGGCTCGACCAGGTGGGGTAGCACGAAGAGGCAGTCTCGGACGCGCGTACCGAGTTTTTGTAATCTGTATCAAGTGCTCACATAGTGTTGTGATACTTGTGGCTGTATTTAGTTTTATTTTTAAACGACATTATTTATAGTGACAATATGTACCTTAAATGTAATTAAAAATAGGGTCGGTTTCGGTTTAATTATGTCAGGTAACCAATGCTGTCCAGTTTCAGATAATATTCTAGAAGGTGCGAGATCGTAAATTGTTCGGCGTCTTGCTGTTGTGTGTATAATTATAGATTTATTCCCTGATAGTGTTTCTAACGTAACGTATCATTAATTGGCTTGCTCTTTAAACGCGTTGCCAGTGTTATGTTGAAATATTATTTTAAAATGGATTTTTCGTAATTGTTTATCAACTATGTAGCGTGTTTTATGGTTTTTTTTTAAACTATTCTTAATTTAAATTAGTTTAAACTAAATGTAAATTAAAATATACCGTGAGAGGGACCACTATTATTCCTCTTATGACCAAAGGTCTTACCCCATGAGGAAGCTATAGATATAATTTTAAAATACTCACATATGAAATATTTGGACGCCTACAATTTTAAGGCAATTAAACAGATGCCAAAAAGTTTTGTCACATGGCCCTTATAATGTCAAATGTCTGTTTAAAGCAAATAAATATTTCATTTATTTCATTTGTCACTTTTCACTTAATATTTTTATATGTAAGATATTTGCTGTGCGAACTGCTATTCCGTTATTATGCAATGCGAAACATTTATAAATGTCTGTCCAATAAGTATTTTTAAAATTGCTACTTTTTAAAAATATATTAATATATTCACGACTATAACCCATTAAGTGGTAGTCGAAAGCATTAGTCGACTGTTACTATTGTGATGACCGTTACATATGACCTGTACGCATTTTACATTTATAAAAGTTTTTTTTTTTTGTAATTTTTATCGACATAAATTATGTGATATCAGTAAACACTGTAGGATATATTCTACTAGTAAAAGAATAAAAAAAAATCCATAAACATATAAGTAAAAATATTTAAAGATTGTGTGTTACATAAAAAAAAATAACTGACTTCGACTTCTGTGGCAATACCATTTATCATTAATATATTATATTAATTCTAAAACTAAACTGAATCGTTTTGATAAAATTTCTACATAACAGAACTGTAAATATATCCTTTTAAATTAAAAAAAAAAACTTGTCAAATAGATCTACAACTAACGGAGTTATGAGGTAACAAACAAAAAAAAACAATAGAATTGAAAATCTCCTTCTATTTTAAGTCGATAAAAAAACACAAAAATATTGAGCTTCATTTAGTTCATGAAAATCGTCAGATAGATCATGTAGATCATGAAAATTTAACTTCATATAAATCAAATATTTTTGTTGTTTTTAGACCAACATTATGTAAAAAATCATTTACAAATCTAACTAAAACAAACTTCCTTTAAACGATGTTGATAAATTAAATTTCACTCTCTATATTATATTACACCGCCGTGTGGTCCCAGCGTAGAATTGACCAAAATATTGAGCTTTGTTTAAGAAATTCAAATATTTTTTTGATCAACATTTGTTTTTAGATCATCATTATATAAAAATTCAATTACAATTCTAAGACACTTCCTTTAAACGATATTGTTAAATTCAATTTCACTGTCTATATTATATTACATCACCATGTGGTCCCGGCATAGAATGGACCACACCTTCCTTCCCCGTGGGTGTCATAAGAGGCGAATAAGGAATCTTAACTCGTAGAAAGACTGGCAGTAACGTTCCTCTTTGAACATCACCGAAACCTAACTGCGATGGGGGGAATGGGATTGTAAGCCCCATTACTAGCAATATACCCTGTCAGCTGGACCTCCACGTGGTTCTCCCTGAAAACCATCGTGGCTAATTCTAGTTGAATTCGTCAGGATGGGCTAACTGACCTGCTTTCATCCTCATCAGTCATCTATCACTGGTGCCCCGTCAGTGTATTCCGATAGCGCAGACGGGGTTACCATATCATTATCGCCTATTAAAAAAACCTAACTACGGTTATTAATCCGCCTGCCAAGCTTAGCAACTATTGGCAAGTCCCTTCCTATGGGAGAGGCCTATGTTCAGCAGTGGACAGTTGGCGGCTGACATAATTACTATGGTAACAAATAATATAATAATATTTTTTTATTTTAGACTTTTTTGGTCCATTAAATATTTATTAGTAACAATATTCTTAAAACTAATGTTAGTAAATTTACACACACATATAGACACACACACACACATACACATATATTAAGTAGTATACGAATAATCACCGCTGCACAATTCCATTGGAAATTGCGCAGCAGCGATTAACGTACACACAGTGCAGCCTGCTCGCCATCATACTCAGGATGCTGTTGGCGCTGGCACGTACTCTGAGCATCAGGGATGCGCAATGATATCATCACTACCTATGTATAGTATATATAGGGATAGACAGACGGGAAGTTACTTTATTTTATACTATTATAAAACAAAGTCACTTCCCGTCTGTCTGTCGCTATATATGCATAGATCTTTAAAACTACACAACGGATTTTGATGCGATTTGTTTAACAGATAGAGCGATTCATGAGGAATGTTTAATTGTATAATACATGCATAATATAGTAGAGAAACACTGATAATTTTAGAGTTTTCTAATGTGACGTGTAGTAGTGTGCACCCGTGCGAAGCCGGGGCGGGTCGCTAGTTATTTATATAATACATTAGCATACTTCTTAATTTTAACTAGTTCCCATGAAATTATATATATATTTTTTTATACAACTTAAAATGGCAAACAAGCTGACTGCCCACCTGATGGAAAGTGGTAACCGTCGCCTATTGACATGAGCAGTACCATGGACATAACAGAGTACACTGTTTCGCCCATGATACCCCCCATGCGTTGCCATTCCTGAGGACTCAGGTGCTATTCCTCTGTACCCTGTAAATTCACGCCATGTCCCACCCTTCAAACCGAAACACTGCCATGCAAACACAACTGCTTCACGGTAGAAACACGAATGGGACAGAGGTGCTCAAGCAAACGACTTTTGTACAAAGTCTCCCTCTGGTAAATAATTGAAGTGTATATTCCAAAAAAAAAAAGATTCGACTGTGATAAAACCAGTCGCTTTAATCTAAAAACTACTGTTTTTTGGTAAAATTTCTAAGTATATCCTTTCAGGTAAAAAAAAGAATTATCCAAATCGGTTTACGACTGACAGAGTTATAAAGTATCAAAAAAAAATACAATCGAATTGAGAACCTCCTACATTTGAAGTCGGTTTAATAATAATAATACTAATATGCCAATGTTTTTATACATATTTTTTAATAACAAACCTTATTTTAGGGGACATTTTAAAATCTACAATTTGGAACACCGGCTTGTAAATGCATAGAGAAAAAATACATATATCTGAGTCTACGGCAGTTCATTACTGCAGTAAAAATGTATGTTAATCCACGTGGAACCGTACGAGAGTCGAATCATTCAAATATACGTACATACAGCCCTTTGCGCGTGGTCGAGTAACACATTTTCTCGAACTTTCACAATTTTATTTAGGTTTTTTTTTACAACACAGATAGCAAACGAGCATGCGACTCACCTGATGGCAAGTGACTACCGCCGCCCATGATCATCCAAAACACCAAAAGTATTGCAGGCGTGCTGCCGGCCTTTTAAAAAGGAATATGCTCTTTTCTTAAAGGTTACGATGTCGTATCGGTTCGGAAATACTGCTGTTGGAAATTGATTCCAAAGAGTCGTTGTGCGTGAAAGAAAGTGCCTATTTAGCTCCAAATACTTTGGGAAATATTAAAATAGTAATCGGCAATGCCCACATGTAAAGATAAAGTGGCCTATGTATCATTTAAATATAGGTTTATTTCAGTATGTACCATATATACGTACGTTATACTACGTCTATGGATTTATTCGTAGACTTAATATAACATATTGGGTGGAAACGGATTGTTAGCAATGGAGTCTGACAGCCCCATTGCTAGCAATATACCCTATTATGGTCGACTTCCACGTGGTTCCCCCTAGAAACCGTCGTGAACAATTCTTGTTGAATTCGTTACGATGGGCTAACTGACCTGCTCCATCCTCACCTATCATCCTTCACTGGTGCCCCACCGGTGTATACCGATATCGCGAGTGGGGTTACCATTCTATCATCACCCATTAAAAAAATGACATATTATTTAACGATTTATATTATATACTGTACATCTATCTAGCTGTGTAGGTCTCGGCATAGGATAGGCCACCCCTTCCTTTCCCGTGGGTGTCGTAAGAGGCGACTGATTGAGGAGAGCGAAGGATAGGCAGCAGCGTCCGTCTTAAAACATCTCCAAAACAAAAAGTGCCAAAGGTAGTGAATACTGGCAACCCCCCCCCCCCCACCCCCCACCCTCTCTTTTGGGAGAGGCTATGTTCAGCATTGGACAGTTAACGACTACCACAACAAACATTTATCAATTATGAAGTATAGTACACTAAGTCTAGGTGAAATTCGTTCAGCCGATTTCATCACAGATTAAGGATGCCACCTCGGCTTTCTCTATCTACGGATTTAATAATTATTATGATATTAATAGAATACAAGTTTTCTACCTGATTTCATCCTTAATAAGCAGCCCGCCAGTGTATACCGATAGTAGCAGGCAGAGCGGCAAGGAGCTCTCGCATTCATCTTAAAAAAAAAAAGTTTTTCTAGATAGAAGTCTAGATTTATTTGAATATTTGTTTTGTCTTATACTTTTCCTCTATAAGAAATTCATGCT